GCACACTTGTGACCTCAGTGAACCTCACACATTGTGACTGTGAAAAGCAAAGACTTTACTTCTTTGGGCTTCTTTACTTCTTTTGGATACTCTCACAAGTATCAAAAGCATTTTAAACTTGAAAAACCTTTGCTCCCTGCATTGCACGACTTGACTGCAATTATATTCTGCAATGTGCGTTAAGGTCTTAGATGGGGTCAAGACTTTGGAAGAGTTGTTAAGACAATTTATTCTGTAGAAAGAGCAAAAGGTTGGGACAATCACAGTCCCACTGACTCCAGCAGTGGCTACACTGATGTGCCTGCCTAGATTTTACACTCTTAACACAGTTCTTCATAAAATTACATCTCATAAAACCTTTTTGAAGACTGACAAGGTAGTTTGTTAAGGGAAAAAGACCCAAGTCTGTGCAGCTGTGTATACATTTTCTTGACAATTTCAACACAAGGCTCACATTCAAAAAGGAAGGAATAGATCTCCGAGAGGAAGAGGTGGCAAATGACCAAATAATTTTTGGACTGGAATTTGTTTTTACAGTGGAACCTGTACCAAGCAGGCAATGCTGCCAATACTGCAATTTTCAGTCCACTCCCACAGCAGTGGATTTATACAGCCCAAAACTCTTGGCCACAATGGGCCATCCGAACTGCCTGATGTAGAAAGAACCTAAATGCCCTTTAATAATTATTTCCTGGGTTTGTTTAACCTCTCTTCTTATGTATAGCTGTGCAGTCCCCTTATCTCATGTAGTTTTTTTTATCTCATGTAGTCTTTTCTTATGAGGCAGAAATTTCTGTCCTTTCTCAAAATCATTTTCTGGTACTAGAGTAAGAAAATTTACAAAGATCAGAATGTACAAAGCACAAGGAAACAGACGTAGGACTAATTAAAACTATTTAGAGTTTTTCCTTTTTTTTTTTTTTATTCACCAATTTGTTTTCTAATAGAACTTCAGTTAAAAGGAAAGACATTCACAGAAAATGTTAAGCGTACATACATATTTTCCTTCTTTCACTCTAATATACATGCTGTTGCTTTTAGAAGGCAAGGTCTCTGTTTCATTTCCTTAGGAATGGAAAACCAAATGTGATTAATGGAATTTAGATGCTGCTTTTCAAAAATTACATCCTTACAGAGTAACTATGTTTGCTGGAATGTAAAATAATGCCTGGGAGAAACCGTATCAAAAGCTATTGCTTATCAAATTGAGAGAGCGCTTCACATTTTAGTAGACACCCTGCAAATGAGATGCATCTGCCATTAAAGAACTCCCACTTTCAAATAAAATGTGATTATTTACTGCAGCCTTTTAAACTGAATTCTTATAACTACACTAAACTTGCACACATACATGACTGCTTTGGCAGTCTTTGTAAATGGATAACAACTGTCCTTTCGTATACTTCATACCAGCTTGAGCATGGTATTAAGACGCTGCCATACCAGTGAAGCAGTAACTGCTCTGTGAGATAGGAAGGGATGGGTAAGGTTTAAGGCAACAAAAATACAATGCAGAAATACTCTAGTACCAGTTAAAGATACATATTCCTATTTAATACATCTGAATTTGCTCTCAGCAAATATAGAATAAGTAGCGTCTGAATTATTAAAAAACAAGTTACTGGAATGTTGCTTTTTCCCTAAAGGCTGCATTGATATCAAAATCAGTTCTTCAGCATTTTAGCTCTTTGGGAGTTTCGCGACTCATAACCTAGTGGTCCCTATGTTTTGTGATGGGGATCCAAATGTTGCTTACATTACTTCATTAACTGAGACTCCTAATTCTGAGCCTGACCTTGCTCTCTTGACATTGAATGGCAATTCCGCTGGGTCAGTGTCTTGGGAACAGGCCGTTCACAGGCACACTTGGCAGACAACAGTGCCTGTGCCAATCCCCTCCTATCCCCTGTCCCTTCCTATCCCCGTCCTGTCCCCTCCTATCACAAGAAGCTACATTTTCCTCTGCATTGTAAGTAGGTGAAGCAATTAAAACAGCTGATATCACTGATTATTTTAATATTACTTGGGGAAAGTACAGTACGAAAGCAGGATCCGCTTTCCTCTCCCTCAGATTTTCCCACTACAGGAAGAGGGATAGTATTTTGACACAAATGAAAAAGGTTTACCAAGAACATTATTTTGACCTCCAATAATAGAACCACAGAGGAGAAAGTCCTCAGAGTATATACTATACCAGCAAAAATATACACACTACTTCTCTGAGCCTGCTCCTCTTTCATTCCTAAGGCTAGTGAGTGGTCAGCACGTGGAAAATGGAAACAAGCAGACAGCCACGTTGTCACCCCTACAGCCATCAAACGTCCACACAAGGAGGCGCAGCTAGTCTCAAGATCATGGCTAAGGTCCAGCTAAGGAGAGGCAAAATTGTTAATGTAGCTCTTGGGAAGAGCTCTAACACTTAATTCAAAGCAGTTGTAGAGTTATGGAAGTGACTCATCAAGAAAATAATGACACATTTGAAGATTATCATCACTTTAACACCGTGTGAATTAATTTCACATAAACAATTGTTGACGTTCAGTTTAATGGAAACACACAGAGGCTTGCAACTTAAGAAACTTAAACCCTGTTGTTAAGAAGCAAATCCTGAAGCATTCAAATTTAGGCCACCAATTTACTGCAAGCACATGTCACTGGTCCAAGGATAATTTCTAGAGATCCGTGCTTGCAGGGTAGCTTGGCCTAAGACTCAGGCAATCAGAGACCTGGTTCTCTGTCCCTGACAGCTCTGTGCTGAGGCCCATGGTAGCTCTGCATGGCCACTGCGGGCTGGTCTCTCTCATGTGAGGACGCAGAGGATTCTCATCTCTCAGGTTATGTGTGTTTGGCCCCCTCCCAAACGTGACATTCAGATTAGAAAGTGAACAACTCAACCCCCAGTCTATGCAAATGATGCTCTACTCCCTCCCCTTGATAACCTGAAGTTACAGGCAAGGATAAATGCCTTTCGTAAGAGAGCAGACTGAAAAAAAAAATTAAAATCAAATTAAATACAAATAAAACATTTTCAATCACAGATGCTTGCCACATGAAACAAATGATGGATCTTGCTGAACAGCTAGTGGTGCAGGCTCAATTTCACCTTTCCGCATGCCCATGGGGAGACAAGGATAAGGGTTCATCCGCTCAAGTAAGCACGGGAAGGGGAGAGGCCAACACTGGAGCCCAGGCAGCAGCCTGCAGAGCACAGGGGCACTACCTGAACCCCGCTGCGCATATTTAGCTGAGGAACAGTCAATAGTCTTTTTTTTTTTTTTTTAATTTACAGTGCTTTGTATGTTAAGTCCAAATTCACAAAATGAAGAAATGAATGGGTTTGATTTAATCTGAAATCAATGTGGAGGAAATGCGGAAGAGGACTGTATGCTGCCCTCCCTAAAATCAAACCATTTGGTTTTGTCTTCCTATTTGACAAATTGTGCTTACAAATTTCTTGCTGGGTAAGTCTCCAGTATTTTCTTCTCCCTTCATTAAATCTTTTTGTTTATTTGTTTCATTTTACAGCAACTAGAAAAATGAAATATACACAGAAAAGAGATAAGGAAATTAAAGTCGGCAGCTCTGCTTAGTTTATCAGATTGGAGAGGTGAATTTAAAAAATAAATCTTTCTTGCAAGCAAAAAATGGATTAGATCTGTGCATACTAAACCGATCAATATTAAAGAGTAAGCAAACCTAAAATTCTCACAAGCATAAATACTTTTAAAGAAAAACTCTTGGTGTTGTGCTTCTAGTGCACCAGAGATGATGCCTTGTAATACATTCATTTCCTTATTCTGTTCTGCTGCACGAACTACACATAAGGACCAGCCCTGATCTCTGCTGCACTTGGTACTGTCCTTGCCTTACTTCTAAGAAGAGTATGATGATTCAGGTAAATCTGTGCATTGAAAATTAACTCTTTCCCAGCACTATATGTTTCTCTTCAGGCAGCGTTTTCAAGCTCCTTTTGCTGGAGAGGACACTGTTAAAAAGCCACTTTCCAAACAGGTTTGAAATTAAACACTTAAAGAACAAACTGCTATGTCAAAGTTGGGAAAATACAGTACGTGAAGCCTGCTGGCTCGAATGCACCAAAGCTATACTAGCATTTCTGCGAGGGCCTATAATCAAGAAACAGCAGCAAACAAAGTCTGGCTCTAACTCCCCACTGCAGCTGTGCCTCAGTACAGGGCAGGGCACAGTTGAGTTAGGATGTGGAAAAGGACTATGCCTATGGACTCGCACAGCATCATCATCCTTGAGAGACTAGTGAAGGAACATAAAACCCAAGTGTCCTGTGCTTTATCCTCCTCATCCTCCTCTCTGGTGGTCGTTGTGGTAAGAATGGTGCTTTTACATTGCCAATAAGTCATGTACACGAAGTGCCTGGGTCAAGAGGCTGGTACCCACCCACGGCAAACAGGGTTTGCATTAAACATTGACCCGTTTCTCCCACTCCCTGCCCCCCAAAGCCCCCCCTCACCTCCCTGGTTCAAACCACATCAAAATGAAACGCGCAGTGACGAAGGTTGGGGACGATGGCAGCCTGCCCGGAAGGCAGGACACGACGCCGAGAGCAACGCGCTGTCCCCTGCTCTCCAAACAGGACTATCCACATCTTAAGCAGCTTTTAGAAAAAGGTAAAAAATGGGCCCCGCTCCTTGGCACAGGCATCCAGACCCCCTCGAACCTCACACAGAAACAGACAGGTATTACTGGAAACTTTCACCAGTGCCGAAGCTGTAAAGCCGCTCTTTGTTGTAGGTGTTGGGATACAGAAGGGACAATTTGCTGTAAATAAATATTAAAAAGTATTTCTCTTAAATGCTTGCAATATTCTTGATTTTTTTCCTTTTTCTCCAGTCTCAATGTTTGTTTTCCCCCGTGTTGCTTGCTCCTCCTGTTGTGCTGATCTTTTCCCCATACATGTGCTCTAGAGTCTGAAGCCGTGTCCTCTCCTCAGCCCAGCGTCCCCCCCGCGCCCCCGGCCCGGCTGCTGCCCCCGCGTGCCGCCGGGCTCAGATCAGCCATTCCTTTTTGCTCTCGTCGATGGTCTCCGTGAAGTTGGGGTCGTTGTTCATGATGGCTGCGTCGGCGCTCTCGGCCGACTCCGCGCCCTTGGCCTCGTTGGTGTGGTAGGTGCCCTTGTGGCGGAACATGTAGCGGATGAGGAAGACCAGGGTGCAGAGGATGGTGAAGATCACCACAGCGATGACACCTGGGCAAGGGAGAGGAGAAAGAGACGGGAGTAGGGCAGAGAAACACCATGCGCACCGGGGATGGAGGCATCTCCGCATGCTTCCCAAGCGGGGGCCGCACGCATCTACCACAGCCCCACAGCAGCCCCCATCACATTTGTTTCAAAGAGGCACCTTTGGGTCTCCCTGCAATACTCACCTTAGCGCTCAGCCCTCTTCTATAGGGGCACCATGAGTTTTACCCTCTTAGGCATAGGTAAGGATGTGCTAGAATAGCACTTTTCCCTTTTTCTTGGCCCTTCACTCCAAAAGCACATCTCCCAGGTGAAGTTCTTATCAAGTTATCAGCCAATAAATAAATAAATAAAATCTTTCAATTAGCCAGGAATATGCCATACTGCTTTTATTAGCTGATGCGTTTAGGTATGTCTTGAATTTTTAAGGAGTGCAGTTCTGTTCTTGTAGTACTGTAAGGTGCCACGGTAGTAGGGAAAAGTTGGAAGTAGTAACAAAAATACTACTAAAAAATGCACAGGAATGAAGCTAGAGTTAAAAAACAAACTCTGAGTATGGAAACACAGGCCTCTGAGAGGGCCAAGAAGAAGAAAAAAGAATTTCAGCTGGACTGCACATACAACGGTACTCAGTGTTGTTTTGCACAACAATAAAAACAGAAAAAAAAAAAAAAACCCAAACACCAGTGTGTCATTTTATCTGCATATAAAGCTGTTCAAAAAAATAATAGGGTGACTTTGAAAAACAATTTCTGCACCTTTTCAGAATAAGATGCAGTGATATAATTCTGTTCTGAGAGTTATGGTGCAACTCTTGATACTGCAGAAGAGAGCACAGATCACTGCACGTGCACACAAATTTAATCAGGAACTTTATTTCTGAAGATTGTTGGTCAGCAAGTCTTCATTTAAATGCTAATTCAAGGACAATTCTAGAATTAATTAACCTCACCTGGAGAGCTACTTCATTGAATGGGATTAACAGGTGTATAAATTACAGAAGTTGGCCCCCTAGAAAACAAGCTAGGATCACAGTGATTTTTTCTCAAGAGTGCAATAGACTGGGTTTGAAATAGTCATGTTGAAATACTACAGCTGGGAAAGCATCCTGCCTTCTCATAAGAACTAATTATTCTATGACTTGAGTAATTATACCAAGGTAGCTCTCTGCATGGATGCTTAACATGTGCATTATGAATACTAATATTTAGATTTGGTTGAAACTACATCTGAGGAGACAAACTAAAAGTGATTTTTTTTTCCAGAACAATGGAGTTGCATAAATTTCTGAATAGAGTTACATAAACTTCTATTTAACTTTGTTCTGGTGCCGTTTTCCCACAGAGACAGATCTCGGCAAATAGCCTGAACACATTAGGAGCTACAATTCAACCTTCACAATCATATTGGAAAGTATCTTTTAAGAATACACATTTTTCCTACCTCCAATAATGGCCGAGTTTCTGTTAACCCCATCTCCTATAGCTTGACCGTTGTACGGGAAGTCAGCACTGGCTGTAAAGAGGAAATTAAAGATTCATGTCGTGAGAGCAGTGAAACTTCACACAGTAGTTCACAAGTATAACCAACATCCTCAGATACAACTGAAATTGTGAAGAAATAAGAAAAAAAAACTTTCGCAGCTAAGCTGGATGAAGCAGGGCAGGGCTGGAGTAGCATATGGACGGATGCTTTGCTTTTAACCTCCATAACCATCACAGAGGATTTCCAAAGGAAATCTCCCCTACTAAACCTCTCACCTATGTTTGTTTGTAGTGAGCCATAACAAGGAGACACTGCACACACTAAGCAAGTGCAAGGAGTTGTGTGAGTGGTTGTTGTAATCATCCTCTTGTGTCATGGGAAACAAGACATTGATCTTGAAATAGGAAAAGTGTTAAGGGCACTTAATTGGAGACCATTTAAAAATAATCAGGAATACACATATTGACCTAAGAATAATTCAGGACAGCTGTATTTTGCTTTTTCATGCATTTGGTGACATTGTAACACTTCTCCTTGAAGGGCCATCGATACGTTCACTATGCCCCAAAACTGGCTCACGAATTCAACCGGCTTTGTTAGAATGTAGGAAAAATCTTGATAGAGTTTCTTTTGTATCCCAAAGCAGCTGTACAGAAGAATGAATGGCCCGAAAGGAGTTTGTGAGCTAGAGTAACCTCTTATGTGTGTACTTGGGAAAAAGAAAAAAAAAAAAAAGTGAAAGATAAATAAATACCTGGTTCAATACTAGTGTTTTTCCTCCCAAAGAACCTTACTGTTCAGGACTATGAATGTTTCCTATAGAGACATTTTGGCAAAGGGTCTGTAATATTATCCTGACAGCACTAAAGGGGAAGGGCTGGCCACAGGAAAATAAACACTATTTTTAAACTTAGCCCACCTGCTCTTTGGGCAAAATCATAAAGCCAAATGACTCCTTTAAGAGAAGCCTTAGGTGTGCCAAACTGTAAGGAAATTGCTTTCTCCAAATGTAGCCCCAAACAGGGTCCTTGCCACAGAAGCAGGACCATACTCAATACCAAATCCTGCTCCTTCCTTGTATAGTTTTGAGTTGCTCCCATGTTTCTCTGCATAGAAAAATCTTAGGATCCGCAATGGTTACAGTGCTGCCTTCCCTTATAAGGGGAATATTAGGAATATAGGGAAAGCTCTCTTCTTTTTTGAAGGTTGTTTTGAGGACAACAGCACGAGTGGAGTGTGAAGAAATACCTGCATTGTGCATTATCAGTTGTGTAATTCAGACACATGGATTTCTTTCTGACCTTCCTACAGTTCATTCCTCCGCAATATGAGGTAGCTTTGTCAAGAAGACAAATAACAAGATTCTTTTGTTCGTTTGCTATTGAAATTAAGTAATTAAATGAGAAGAGAACAAGTTAAGACAAGCTCACAAAGGGGCCCCAGTAATCCTGATGCTCTAGTAAAAGCAGGGAAAAATCCAGAGTACCAGTCACAGGTTTTAAAATGAAGCCCCTAAGATATTTCAAAGTGACTGATCAGATAAAATGAATATCGTTATTACTGACTCTCACCTTTCATGGGAGTCTGAATCGCAGCGAGTGGTATAATAACCAGCTCGCGTGGCTATGAGACGTGCTGGAAGTACTTGAGGAGTCGCTAATGGGCAAGTGTGTGCCTTCATTTCTCTATCACAGCTGGGAACACCTCTTTCCTGTTCAAATCCTTCCATTATCACTGTGACATTAATTTTAACTACATGTCTCAGCAAGACCTTTCTCAGCGCCTTATACCTCAATAACTTCAAATGATGGCTTGCCCAGAGCAAATAGGTGTTATGGAGCTGCAGTTATTTTATGTAGCTACCCTGCAAAGCCCAAGTAAATTTCTTGCTCACGGGGACAGCAAGTGAATTGTGGATGTAATATAGGTGGGGGTTGGAAGGGTATTGTAGAAGTTCTGGTCTAAATGCAGTGCCTAATTGTTAGCTGGGGCCATTCAGTTTTCCTTTATAACCTGGTCTATTCCGGTTGCTTCAGAACAACAAATTCCCAGCTGCTCTGGAGACTGTACTGGAAAGGTTTCCTTACCTAGGAAGCTCTTTCTGAATCTCTCCCATTTTTTTTTTTCTGAGCAGCTGCCATCTCGTTTGTGTGAATTAAATACAGAGAATAAAGGAGATAACTATTTTCCATAATGAATTAAAAAACTACATATTGGCTCAGAAGGTGCATCACTAGTTCTCTGAAATCATCTGCTTATACAGCTGTAGTCAGAACGCAACAAAGACATTTTTCTTAAACCCACAGCTACTGCAAGGATGTCCTGAACTGTTGTAAGAAACCAAGTACATCTGTGACTTACTCACACTCTATCACTTGGTTCTTTTCCAGAATGCAAGCTGTTTTTTATACCCTTTCTTCCCACAGTAGGTCATTGAACTTGCTTGATCATACTATGATCATCCTTAACTTGACCTATGTTAAAGGACACATCATGCTTTGCTGTCTCTTTCTTTCATGGACTGCTGTTGATAAGGTGATAGCTTCTATAATGGCCACAGAGTAAATCTACAGAGACTAAAACCTGCAGTTTTCCACTCTTTTACTTTCTGTTATTAGGTAAATAGAATTAAAGGGACTTCGCATCACCTATAAGGGTGATAAAGGATCAGCTGCAGAAAAAAAAAATGTGTATTGACCATCATTTTAATTATATTTGAAATTTCACACCACTAGAAAAGTGTGGTAGGAGATCTAATATCATCCTGCACATTAAACTTGGTCACTGACGCAGCCATTGGCAGCACTGCAGGACTCCCTGGATGGAAAGGGGAGATGGGAACGGACAAACACATCTGAGCAGGATCAGACATTTGTGGTGACAGATATGTTTGATTTAGTTGAATGAATGATAGTTGTGGTTCTTTAGATAAAATTTTGCAGCTATCATTTTCAGAGGGAGAATTTTTACTATAGATCTCACATAAGTCTTTCATAAATTCACAAAATGTTTCTGTTAAAGACGAAATGTGGCGCAGAAAAATGGTGTGGGCAGAGAAACCAACAAAACATTATACAGTAAAGGTACTTTGCAGGAAAAGAACAAACTGGGATTCTTCCAGCTAGCAAGCAGCACTGAGATCCTGACTATGAATCACCAGTGCTGAAGGAAATACATCCAGCCCTTGTGAGACAATTCAACATCTACCTAATTTTGAATGCATGAATCAGAAGCCTTAGACTTCTTCTAAGAATAGAGGTCTGTTTCTTTCCACAAATCATGCAGAAAAAACAGCTTCCTAAATTAGACACCACATGACTATTAAGTTAAGACAAATTTTGATTTCATGTAAATGTGAACTAGGGAATCTAGACCTGGTGATCACAAGGTATATAAATGCCTAGCTATCAAGACACTGATTAAAAGCAGAATGGCAAGAGAATAAAATAGAAACAAGTGATAGGTATCATTCATTCTTCCCAATTCTCTTTTAGAGTCATACATCCATGAGGAAAAACTCTGTAATTCATCCCTATGGCGCCTATAAAGACAGCAAGCATTCACTGACACGTTAGGATTTTGAGAAAGCCCTTGAAACAAATCAGTTCATTAATCTATTTCTCCATGGACTGAAACACAGAGGAAAACAATGGCAAGAACTCTCTCAAGTTATATCCACTCCACCTGCCATGTGGGGCTGTACTACCACGTCTGCAAAGTAGAGATTGCTCCTTATTAACTGCTGTAAATAAAGCAACCTTCTTAACGGCTTGGCTCTTGCTAGTGAAAATAAATGGGCAGTCACTGTCACACTGCCCACCCTCCAGAGGCCAGATCAGAAAAGAAATTCAAAGCACACAAATGACCAAGCGGGAGCCAACAATTCCACTACACACTGGTCTGCATCAAAGGTGACCATTGCAACCTGCAGACCCCCGGCTCTTCCTCTGGCTCATCACCCTGTCTGTCCCTACCTCTCCCACCCAATTTTGGCTCCCAACTTGTCCTAACTCCCTCTCAGCAGAGAAATGCAGGACACCCCTGGCCTTGCTCTGGCCACGCATGTCCTCGCTGTGTCAAAGGCTATTCTCAAAACATCCATCCTCATTTAAAAAAAAATAGAAATCTATTTATATTCCTAATCCTCCAAGTTGAAAATGAGAGAGAAGGAAACCTGCCCTGCTTTTTGAGGGATTTAAGAGCAAATTTTATTGGAGGAATGTACTTAGAATCTACTTGAAGTTCCTCTGATATTAGCCTTTCACTTTAAGCTTGCCATTCCCTATTCTGTCTCCAACAATGCAACACATGTGAGACATGAAATTTGATCAAAGTCTACTAATTTCTTCCGTCTTTTGCAACCTTCTTAGGACAAGGGTGGGAGAGGAGTGGGGGTACAAGATCAGAAAAATCTCCATAAACCACAAAAACGTCTTCTAACACATTAGTACTACTTGAGCCTGTTACTTAACCTAAATGATATCAGATATGTTCCATTAGATCATAACCCCTTTGAATAGTTTTATTTTTGTCTAAGTATTTTTCATTGAACTTCAGATGTTTTTACTGCCAATTACACTGGTCAGTGTTGAGGAGAAAAAGGAGAAACACACAGAGATTATGAAAAACATGAGTTTTTCTACTCAAAGCCAGTGTTCTTACATATTCGTTTTCTTCTGAAATCTTTCCAACTGTGTCTTTTTTTTTCCAATTTGAAATGTGTATAAGTTAATAAGGCCACTGGAATGATGGATTAATAGAGCTGTTGTCCTCTGAACAACCCTTTTGCAGCAAACATTTGGAACACTGTGGGGAACTAATGAGGGATTACAGAAGAAACAGGAGTTGGATATTTCAGTTAAAGAAGAACCGTGGGATGAGCAATGAAAATGTAAACAATGAACAAGGACAAGGCTCAGTGGAATTCAGTGAATGCTCTATGTCCAATGCACAAGGACGATGCAAATTTTCACCACTAGACTCCAAAGGCAACAACCTATGCAGTCAAGAAAGTTGTTTCTGAATAGGTA